TCGTCCTTTAACTCATGATGGTGAAAAGAACAAGAACAGAATATTTTCCTGGTTCCTGAACTCTAATAGTAATATTATCACATCATTAACAACAGGCTCAGTGGAAACATCATGATTCAGAAACTGCAGATCAGAACCAGATCCACTTCCTCTCTGGATCAGTAATCAGATCAATAACCTGATCAGACTAATTGATTGGCCATCAGAGGAGCCGATTCAATGGAGATGCTGGTTGTGGTGTCCTCTGGTTGGACCTGGACCTGGACTGTCCCTGCTGAGGAGACAGAGGACAGTTAGAGAGACAGAGACACAGGCTGACCTTTGACCTCCAGATCAAACCTTTTCCTTCTCAGTAGTTTTTGTCAGGATCCTGGGTTCTTTCAGTTGGTTTTGTTCATTCCTGTGTTAGATCCGTTTCTTAGATCAGCAGATTTCTGCTTTACTTCGGTCCTTTCTCATTGTTTCTAGTTTATCATGTGTGTTTTTAGCCACTGAGGAAAAACGTGATTGATTGATAAATAACTCATTAACAGTGTTTTAAAATCTCTTCAGTCAAATTTCAGTTATAATTTTGCACAAGAGATTTTCTTTGTTAATTAGTAAGTATTGTTAGTCTAACTGGGAAGCTAGTGTGGGAGTCTTTAGTTTTGGGGAAATGTTTTTTTTCTCTGGTTTGGGGTTAGTTGTTTGCTTTCATTTCATCCGATGAGATGAAGTGTTGATTGTTGACTATGAAGTGTGGCTGGTCTGAACCGGTTCCCCTGCAGGCCTCAGCTTGTCTCCCCTTTGGGGTTCATGTGCTCAGACACAGTAGTGTGAGATCATCCGGTTGGAGCAGGTGTCTCGGGGGCACAGCCATAGAGTTGGGGGGGTTGCTGGTTTTCTGGTCACCTTTTCCACTCTACTGGTATTTAGTGCCTACAGTCCCTGATCTCTGAAGACTAGGGTTGAGCTGGCTAGTTTCTGATAGCAGTCAGGTTCAGGTTGGTTGTTTGGTGTTGCACAGATTGTCAGCAATTTACTTTAAACTTTGAAACACTGTTGTGATTAAGAATTTCGTCATGTCTGTTGGAGACTTTAATAAATCTCCATCAGCAGAATTTCTGGAGCTAATTGCAAAGCACTTGAATTAGTCCCTGAAGCGTACAGACAAGTTTAGGAACTGGAAAAAAGATGACAACTCTGTTTCTCATAATATTGCAGAGTACATTAATGAACAGAAGGTTAAAACAGGAGCTGCAGTGTTGGCTGATGATTTTGTCTTGACACATAAAGATACTGGTGGAGAGCAGGCAGATGGGAGGAGAGCTCCAAACTGGCATTGAACACATTCTGGAGGTTCTGTTTTCAGACCGCAGTGACATGATTTAGACTAAATTTGTAATTATTGTCACAGAAAAGGTCGTTGGAAGAAAGACTGTGCTTTGCTGAAATCCAGAAGTAAAAATGGATCTCAGGTTAAACCAGCAGCGTTGCTGCATCAGTTTCTGTAAATGTTTCAGATAAACTGACTGAAGTGTCGTTTGGAGAAAAACCTGACTTGAGTTCTGATAAAACGTTTCTGATGGAAGGACAAGTTTCTTTGGTTGGGAGTGACGTTAAGGTGCCAGTTACCATCTTAAGAGATACTGGTGCATAAGATTCGTTCATCCTGGTTTTACCTTTTCCAGGTGAGTCTGACACTGGATTGTCTGTACCTGTGTTGGGTTTGGGCATGTCTGTGGTTGGTGTTACAGCACATAAACTCCTGCTCCATTCAGAGTCGTTTGAAGGAGAAGTAAGGATGGGTGTGAGACCTGCACTGTGGTTGGTGTTACAGTTATACTGGGGAACAATGTGGCTGGAGGGAAAGTCTGGCCTGATCAACCAGGGTCTCCAGTTTGGTTCCAGTACCTCTGATCAGCAGTGGTGTCCTCTTCTTGTTGGTCTAATGTTCCTAATGTCACAGGATGACCTGGGACAGGAGCAAAGATCTGACCCCACATGCAGCTTTTGTTTCAGTCTGCATTACCTGCTGAGGAGATGCAGAGCCGGGCTCATGGATACTTTGTTGAGAACAAGGTGTTGTTGAGGAAGTGGATGCCATGTGGTGACGATGCTGTTGGGGAGCCAGTTTATCAGGTTGTGGTGCCTTTGAAATGATCTGACTTGGTTTTGCAGGCGTCTCATGATGAATCTGGACACATGGGAGTTAGGAAAACCTACGACTGCATTTTGAGAAACTTCTTTTTGGCCGCAGCTGAAAAAAGATGTTGCTGCTTATATTAAACCTGTCAGCTGACTGGCAAACCCAATCAAATCATGAACTGGGCACCACTGCATCCTATTCCAACTACTGGTAAACGGTTTGATCACCTAATCATTGATTGTGTGGGTCCTCTTCCTCTTTCACGTTCAGGTGCCAAACAGCTTTCGACTGTTATGTGCTGCTGCTACATCCACATATAAAATCCTATAAATCACTAAATTAAGACCAACAAACACAATAATTGTGCTGAAATAATTGTTTTATGAATTTTTATAATATGTATTTTTTAAAACATACACCACTCCAAATGAAATCAACTAAATATGAGAAACATCCATTTCTCAGCCTCACTGTGAACAATATGGGGTTTTCTCACCAAGAACAGATCCTGGACCCCCTGCAGAGACTTTATTTCCCTTTTGATTTGGGAACAACAGGATCATTCAGAACGACCAGAAGATGTTCCAGAGCCTGGGTTTCACTCCTGGACCCGGTATCCCTACAGAACCCCGTCTCTGGTTCCCATCTCTAAACCTGTAGGTTTTCCTCATTCAGATCTTTGAGAATGAAACGACTTTTGTCACAGAAATCAAAAAATTTACAAAAGTTCTTTAGTTATTAACCAACACTAATGATCTACATTACTCCAAATCTACAATTTACTGAAGTAAAACCATTAATCTTCTTACATGTGTAAGAAATGCAGGAGCTACATGGAGCTAATTCACTCATCCTAATGAAACAGGGATGTGATCACCACATTTCAGTAATTAACACACTGCTGCTTTTTATATAGAAAACTTTAATCAGAAGATTCAAATCAAACAAACACAGGAACAGCCAAACTCTAGAATAAGACATCAGATTTAGAATATTATACAAGATACATAAAACTGACTGGGTAAAAAAAGATGGAGGCGATTCAGTAGAAAACCTGAACTTTCCTCTCAAAAGAGCAGCAACACAAACAATAAAACGTTAATGATTGACAGCAGATCAGTCAGTCTGGAGACATCAGTTACTTTGTTTTGATGATGTGGAACCAATTAGCTGTTGTCATAGCAACAGCTAATTGGTTCCTAGTAAACAGTAAAGATCTTCAGGCCAACATCAACAGTCTGTATTCAGGAACAACAATAATACTGAAACATTATGAACTGATTTAGAATCAGTTAGATAAACTTATCAGTTTATCTGTTTAGAAACTGATATTCTAAATCAGTTTTTTCTGAAGGTTCACCTGAAACAACCTGGGAGTTTTATGAGTTATTTTATGAACCGACTTTGCAGCAGATCAGCTCAGAAGAATAAAACATTTGGTTAAATGTGAGTCATGCAGGAAGCAGAGAGTAAGTGAAGGTAAACAGATTTACTGGATTATGAGCCATAATATTTACAATGGTGTTCAAAGATGTAGAAGATAATTGGAAATGAAACAGTAAAGGCACAAACTGATGGAGAACAGCAAACCTTCTAAACACTGTGGTAAAAACAAGAGTTCAGAAAAAACTGATGTAAAAACAAGAGTTCAGAAAAAACTGATGTAAAAACACTGCTTTGGTTTGAATGAACATGAATGTAAAACAGAAAAGAGCAAAAAGAAACAAAATACTTCATGAGGCATTGATCCGATTGTTCTTCATATCAGACTCAGTATTTCAGACTCAGTCCATCTGGTACCAACACGTGATCAGGTCCCTCAGTGCTGAGTGACCTGATCACGTCCAGAGGGAAAATACAGACGTTTAAAACGGTTTAAGGCTAAAACCCCCAACCAGAGTGACTTTATACAAATTAACAAGTGGAACAGGGCTGAGCTGCTCTGCAGTTAAATAAGTTAAAACACAAACTCACATTAAAACATAACACACACAAAAGTCCTATATCAATATAATGTTTAAAAAACAGCATAAAAAACAAATAAAAACTGATAAAAATGTTTTGACCTTTGAACATGTTTCAGAGGTTCATGGCCAAACTGGGCAGGTCACTGGGAGCTGCTGCAGGAAAAGCACAGATTGTAAATTATTGTAAATTATTTTAAATGATTTAAAGGCCATGTTAGAAAGGTTCAGTAACTGGAACCACAGATGGACTCCAGTACGTCTTTGGTTTGGTCTGTTAATGTCCAGATCAGTCATGATCAGGAAGGAACAAGAAATCTGAACCCTGACCTGTTCAACGCTTAACAACTGATAAAAATGAAAACAATCATTTATAATGAAGAAAAAAAACATGAACTTTATGATGACCAGACATTGAACAATGAATAAAAATACCTGATACGTTAAAATGAGAGCAGCTTCATGCAGCACACCTTGATTTTGATTTTGAAAATTGATCAGCTGAGATTTAAATTAATTATACAAAAATGAATTACTACAATGAAAATTGAAGCTTTGAGCTTTACAGACGTAACTGACTTACAGGCTATTTTCATAATCTGGTCATCATCCATCATATCTTCTGATGATCAATTGTGCACAGATCTATAGATCAACTGGAGGATCTGATGTCTTCTTCCTAAAGCTAGTTTGTTGTTTTCTATAGATTAGAAATAAAACACCAAGAACAACAACAACAACAACTGAGATCAAACCAACTATTATTCCAACGGATCCATCTTGGTCACCAGCTTTCTTGTTTCCTCCATCTTCACCTCCTGCAGAACAAAACCAGATTATGATTAGAATATGATCCTCAGGTAGGTGATGCAGTAAAGGTCATAATTATTAGCATCATCACCCCTGATGAAATGACACTAAACTCTTTATATTTTCATAGAAATGACCAGAAGCACTTCATACTGCTATTGCTTCCAAAGGGCAAAGAGTCTCACCAAAGTTTGACCAGTAATTTTTATTAATGTGCTGAATTGTAACAAGACAACTGAAACAGGACAAAGTGAAACTATTAGCCTTCTGATATTTAATGGTCAACATTGTGACCTGTAGGTCTCCACTGGTGTTATAGCTGGAGGCAGTTTTTAGTTGGCTTCCACTGACTCCTCCCATTGGACATCCTCTGTGTCCTGGTTGGACGATTCATCTCCTGCTCCTCCAATCACAGAAGAGCCTCTAATTAAATCCCTGCTCTGCTGTCAATGAATGGCAGCTGTGATTTGATCTGAGCAGTTTGCCTCTTTGTTTGGGTGTCTTGTGAACCTTAATTGTTCCTGCCTGGTTTCTCTGTAATCTAATTTAAGCTCTGATTGTTTTTCTTTTGAGAGCCTTGGTGGTTTCTCAATGAAGGGTCTAGATCAGCGTTTCTCAACCTTTATGGGCCAGCGCCCCCCCATCCATTATCCAGGTCCCTCACCGCCCCCATATAAGAAACTCAATTCTACTCTGCACCATTATTTTATTATTAATATTACTATCACTATTGTAGATGTTTTGATTTTTATGCTTGTTTCTGTATTT